ACATTGGACGCACTCCTTTAATTTCTTTGCACTGTACCAATAGCTTCCAAAATAAAATTGATTTCATGTGGGAGTACCATTCTGCTCGAACTTCCTCTAATCATATCTGGCATTGGTAGGCCAAACTTGCAAGTTTGACCAGCTTGGGGAGTTGGGAAAAGCAGAAGGAGAGGTGGACGATAGTGGTAGCTTCAAGGTGGAGAACCACTTCACGGAGCCCATAAGCGTCGAGGTCATACGCGAGCTCCGCACTCGTGGTGATACAAACAAGCCGGAAGCTCCGACTCCTGAAGAAACGATCTATGTAACTCCCGATAAAGTGCTCCCTGAAGAATCCATTACGCTAACTCCCATCGACAAAATTGTGGTCTGGTTCCAGGCGACCTCATCGACAGGTTCTATGGAGGGGGAGATCATTGGGAAGAAAGTGGAGATAATTCTTAAGGGCAAGAACCGGACGACGCAGACGTACAGTTTCGACGAAGCAGGCAAGTGGAAAGAGGGTCCACTTCCCTCATCCTAAGGTATTGAATAATTAGGTTGGGTGTATGTGATCATGATATGTCGGAGTACTGAATTCGATTCTCAGTTTCTCAGAACATGACACCAAGAGCCCTATTTCCATGGGGACATGGCTCAGCTATTGGTAGCTCGGTACACTATCTGATCTACTATCTATGTAGATTTAGTTGTCATTATATGACTTGATTGTTACAAATGGTATTCATGCCGGCCATTCAGACTCGGGCCACCCTCTGGGCTCTTCGAGTCTTTGACAAATTTACATAATGAACAGAGAGCTTGTTGTCTCCGGTTTACTGGTAACCAATCCAGATGAGGGTACGGGTGGTGGAGGTTTTATTCCGATCACTTGACCACATTCATTATCGACCATTCAACCGTCACTATCGGCGTTTGAAGACCTTGTCAAACTTTGTCTAGTTTCTCCTTATGCCAAAGATGTCTTGATGGTGGAGGAGTACATCCTGGAAGCCGTAAATCTCGGCATTCTGGACTTTTCGGAAATTTCTCAATTCCACAACAACAGAACTGTGAAGGTCTATGAACGGTACATCGCGTGGTATATAACCTTATCCCCAAAAGACGAGCTCTGCCCCTTCACGAACGGGCCTTTTGTCCATCTTACTGTGCGATCGTTCATCATGGCGAAAACGGATACAAACACTCTCATCATCCAAATTCACCCTGAAAGAATTGAAACCTTGAAGACGAACCATTATATATTGTGCATCGCCAGATCCATTGGGGACACAAAGGCGAATCCTGAGGGTAATAGAAGTATGGTCATCTGGGCAGCAGTATCAAAGTGAGTTCATCTGTACCAGATATCGAACGCATTTAAGTATGACACTGACTATCTGCCTTTTGTAAAATGCGACCAGGTTTCTACAGGACAACGAGTTCTCGTGGGAGAACAATTACAAGGTCTTTGGAGCGGAAGAGGTAAAGGAAGGCAAGCCTATCAATTCTGAAACCGATTCACAGTCCATTGCATTCGGTAGGCATTGGCCGTCCACTGGTTTTGACTATTCATAATTCACGTTGATAGGCCAAACTTGCATAATTGACGACCAAGGTAGAATAGGGGCAGCACAAGGAACCAAGAACAAGAGTGGCGCATTCAAGTTAAAGAACGAGTGGACCAAGCCGAACGGCATCAATGCCGGTGTTGCATGTGAGCTCAAGGTTCGAGACAATAATCTGCATTACGGTACCGATCAAACTGGTGGCAAAGCAGAAGTGGTTTACGTTACTCCCGAAAAACTGCTTCAAGGAACGTCGGTCACCTTCACTCCTTTCGACAAAATGACAATATGGTTCCAGTGGGGAGGGAAGACTGGCGTTATGATATCGGAAATCGATAACGATAAACTGATGGTGGATTTTGCTCATGATGGAGCAAAGACAGTGATTTGCTGCTTCAACAAGGATGGTAAGTGGCAACTTGGGCCGCTTCCATCCGAATGAGATATGTATACCGGCATGATTGATTCTTCTTTATACGAATTTCAGAGTACTCTGAGAAAAAGTTGAAGCCAGTAATGAAATGCTCCATAACTAAGGTTCTATCTATATCTCCTTAGTAGGCTAATACAACTGATGGCAGGCACGAGGTGCAGGTGGTCTGGGGTACTGTGTACTTGGCCACATTTAGATTTTATCAGCCATTCAACTGTCACTATAAGCTTTTGAAATGTACTTTTCTCCTACTGTCAACGGTGTCTTGATGGTGGAGGAGTACACTGAAGCCGTAAATCTCGCCAATCTAGGATCTCCGGAAGATTCCCAATCCCCACGACCTGAAAACAGTAAAATGATGAGTGGCATGCAAAATTGTATATATATACCTTGGAGACAAGTCACTGTATCTCACAAACAAGTTACCGTTCATCTTATTTCACCATGACTTACACACTCGTCATTCAAATCCACCCCAGCCAATTGCAAATACTAAAACCCAACGAATTTCTATTGTGCATCTCCCAATCTATCGGAGACACGACTACTAAGTCTGAAGCTGATCAAAGTACAGTCATCTGGGTTGTAATAGAGTGAGTTCGATACCAGCCACGTACCACCCTCACTCAGCATGACACTAACCATTCGCTTTCTCGCACCACCAGCCCTGTACTAAACAACACTTTCTCCTGGGAGAACAAATACCAAGTCTTTGGGGCGGTCGAGTATGGAGATGAAGCGCTTGTTAGGAGTCGAACTTGGCAAAGGCCCATCCAATTCGGTATAACCTGTTCATAGACTCCGTTCGATACTTGACTGATTCTGTTTTGCATTGATAGGCCAAACTTGCACGTTCAATGATAACGGTGTAATGGAGGGACCAACAGGAACCAAAAATGAAAGCGGTAAATTCAAAGTGAAGAATAGTTGGACCGGAACCACAGGCTTGAAAGTTGGTGTCTCGTGTCAGTTTAAGGATCAACCCGA